TCTTCTTCTTCTTCTTCTTCTTCTTCTTCTTCTTCTTCTTCTTCTTCCTCCTCCATCTGTTGTTGTGTTTGTTGATAGATAGCAAGCGCCATTTCTAAAAAGAGAAAAGCTTCTTTCACAGCGTCCTTGCCTTCTTTTTTTATTTTTTCATATTCTTTTCTCAATTCATCAACAGATAAAGCCATTATAAATCTTTTCTTTTCTTTTTTTCCTCTTTCTTCTTAAAACAACCAAGATGTTTCAAGAGTTAGAACAGTCCCAAAGTCCCAAAGTCATCAATCAGTCCAAGCCAAAACAAAGTTCTCACTTTCTCTTCCCGGGGTAATATCAATTAAAAAAGAAAAGAAAAACCCAATCTGTATTTTAAAGCCTTATTGCAATAAATTTCAGTCTTCAAATCCTTAAGGCATCTCCTCCAACAAAATCTTTATATATATATTTGTCCTCTCCCTTCCCACTTATCACAAAAAGCAAGTTTTTACCTTCTTTCACCTCAAAATTGCCGCTTATAATTCTCTTCTGGAAAGTATCATTCAAAAAGCCATAGTTTTCAGGATGTTAAATGTGTCTTAAAGTCCTGGGTCAGCCAAGAAAAACTTTCACTTCAAAAACTTTCTCCTCTTCCTCCTGCACATTCTTACCCAGCTGCCGGCTTCTTTGTGGCGGCCATTACAGACCGCCGCTGCACCGTCTTGAGAAAAGGGGGTTTTGCTGGCCGGGGAGGGGGTCTGCAACACCCCCAAACCCCTCTCCGGATCCCCCCTATCTTCAGCCACCCCTGCAGGGCAGCCTTAGCCTCCAAACCCATCCGGATCGGAGGCACCAAAACGGCTAGCGCCGCAGGGATCGCGCAGTATCGCGAATCCCTGCTGCTAGCAAAGCCGACAAACCGGAAGTCCCGAGTGCCTTTTTTTTATATATCAACTTTTCTTTCATGTGTAAAAAACAAGAATCAAGTAATGCAAAAAAACTCTCACTAATATGATATTGGAAAGAATCGAAACAGCAATCATACCAAAATATTGTATAACAGACTTATTGTAATTTTTAGTTTTCAAATGTTCACTGTTTTACCATGGTGATAATAAAATGGGATGGTTCTTTCCATTGTTATTATACTGCCTTGAGGTCTTCAGATTTAAGAAGAGAAATTGCAACAGCTGTGAGCTGCAGGAGTCTATGTTTTATGTTAAAGAATTGGAGTAATTTTTTCAGAAGTACCAGAAAAAAATTCTCCATTTTTGCACATTGAATTTGAATTCATGTTTTTGTTTAAGTTTTTTCTTACTTTTTGCCAAGGGCCTGAACATTTCAGTGTCTCATCTTTGAATACAGAGAAATAGTGTGTGGGGATAAAAATAAATATATGACTATTATAATTCATACAGAAGGAACAAATTGCTACCACTGAGTCCTAGAAATCTGATTTGTTGGATATCATAGTTACATGATGAGGAATTTAATTACATTGCAACACAGCTCTTTTCTATAGGCTTAGATTTTTTTTAACTTAATTGATATTAAAGCTGAGATAGGGAAATGAATTTGATTTACAGATTGAATTCTGTTCCCCACTTACCCTGAGAATGGGGTAATATTAATAGAAATTGTTCAATACATATAATATTCTGATCATTCATTCATTCATTCATTCATTCATTCAATGTATGTGCTGCTCATTCCACCCAAAGCAGCTTTGGGGTTGCTTGTATTGTCATGTATAGAAAAAAAACAAACACTGAATGCTTGCACTGAGAGGTCCATCTGATGCATGTTTTCTCCAATCATGAATGAAATACTCTAGATCTGAAGTCTCCAAACTTGGCAACTTTAAGACTTGTGGACTTCAACTCCCATTGTTATTTCGCAATTAGTATATTAGAAGAGAAGTTTGAAGCACTGAGAGATTTTGTTGGGGACTCTGGCAGACATGCAAACAGGACCAGCTTCTACCAGCATCACCCATGTCCTGCTTTTCTCTTCTAAAGGAAGAAAAAGAGAAGAACTGATCTACTTAGTGTTGCTACAGAAGGTCAATGAGAGGACCTTTGGCCAACTTCCAGCTCCCTGGAAGAAGAGGGACCAGGGGCAGAAATGGAGAGATAATACTGAGTAAAGGCTTCATTTGATGCTCAGCAGATGAGATAGGTCAGCTTAGCGTGCCCGATGAAGCTCCTGGACCAAAAATTATCCATTTCTGTATTAAAGGATATTACAAACTATGCTGGAACATTTGTAATACTGACAAAAGACCCTACAGAAATTCCAATATATGACTAGAAGTTCTTGCTATTAGAAAACAAAGAGCTTCCAATAAAACAGCTTAAATTAATAAATTAATTCTGAACCCTGTTTACTCCTAGATTTGTTTTGACAAAACTCTAATAATCTACCAAAGGAAGAAAGAAAGGAAGAATGGTTAGGATTTATTGTGATCTTGAAGTCAAAGGAGCTTTTTCTAAAAGATACCTAATGTTTCTATAACATTATGCCTTGCACAGTTAGTGTTGGAAAAGAAGATTAAAAAGATTTAACCCATAAAAACATCTACTAGATCCGTGATGGCCACAGGTGGCACACAGAGCCATTTGTGCAGGCATGCAAGCTCCAGCCAAACTTACCTGCACTGTGCATGTGTGCGCCTCCTAGCTGATTTTTGGCCCATTTGAGGCCGTTTTTGCCCACCTGGAGGCTCAAGGGAAGCCTCTGTAGCCTCAGAAGGCCAAAAAATGGGCCTTCTGGAAATACCGGAAGTGCCCATTTTCACCCTTCGGAGGGCCTCTGGAGCCAGGGGGAGGTCATTTTCGCCCTCCAGGAGGCTCAAGGGAAGCCTCTGGAGCCTCAGGATGCTGAAAACGGGCCCATTTTTTGGCCTCCCGAGGCTGCAGAGGCTTACCTCAAGCCTCTGGGAGAGCGAAAACAGCCTCAAACAGGCTGAAAATCAGTTGGGAGGTGCACATGTGTGCAGTGCAGGTAAGGGGGTGGGGGTGGTGTTGCGTGCACATGGGCAAGGGGGTGGGGCACATGCATTGTGG